AACAGTGAGAATAAACCTACTGCAGACCCCCACCCTCCACCTTTTTTTGTATGGCCCTCTTCCTTGGAATATCTTGTCCATATTCAAAATCTACATTACAACAATATATTAATCAGAAAGGCTTTGAAGTATTAGGGATTACCATGACTCATACATATCTTTCGCAATAGCTGTTTAGCTCAAAGGGTAATAGAAAGTGATTCTTTCAGACAAAACTTGTTACTTTTGGATGCTTTGTTAAAGTAATGGTACAACCTTTCAAGTGAAGAGAGGGGATAGGAACCAAAGGGTTCTGGAGCAGAGATTAATGGTTTTCAACTAATGGTTCCGGATTCATGCCTGGACCGAACGAATTTGCGTGTGCTTTCGAAGCGATCGACAAAGATATGAATGTGCCATATCTCACTGAGTCTCTATATTAGGACCCAACATTTCTGGTTTTCCTGAGTCCCAGCGTTATGATTCATTTTTCGTAAACATTTAAAAGAGCGCTGTTCCAAGCATCAAACACACGAGAAACCAACCACCTGGGAATGTATCCTATCCTTCCCCCAGGCTAGGGAGACGAGAAATTCCGTTAAAATCCCTTTGTCTTCCCTACCAAAATCGTTCCGAAAAAGTGCATGTTTCTTATGTTCATGCAGTAGCGGTCAAAAGTGTTCGCCGAAACGGTTTTCCGTGCTTCTCCTTTTTTTGCCAAAAAATCAATGGTGACCTCGAAAATTTTTCTTTTGAACATCCTGATTCTTCAAACTTGAGGATATAAAAACACTAGAAACATAGTATATCAATCTTTGGAGGGCGTTGCTCAAGCGAGAAAAAATAATGCACTAAAAATCGTTTCGGCGAACACTTTTGACCGCTACTGTATACATGTGTAGGTAAGCGTGTGCAGAAAGTGAGGGAACTGCGCCATTGAAAACAAATGAATCTAAAAACTCTTTCGTTCCCCTAGCCTGGGGGAAGGATGGGATAGGTGCCCCTGATCATCAACGTGGCAAGAAATATATGAAAATGTGTAACTGTCTCCATGGCTATGCTTCTGCAAAAAATTCTCGTAGGACATGTACGAATGAGGGGCAGTGCAGAGCGGCAAAGGGCTGAAATCAGTGCCAG